TGTTGTGTGGTAGATCCTGGCAGGTGACAGAGGGCAGACCTCGCAGACGTGGAGGACGATTGCTCATGTGGAGGGAATGTACAACCACTGCGCTGTGGTGCTCAATGACTACCTGTATATCATAGGTAAGAAGAACACGGAACAGCCAGGCCTCAATTAAAACTCCCCTCGCCTCTTCTGTAGACCTCGCGTTGGTTAAACCTCTGTACTGTACATGCTGAGGAAGACAGGCAGACCCCAGCTGTCACAGATACTACTGTATAATCTGAGGGCATCTATGTGTAGCTCCTAATGCATATGCACAGACCCACACTGCTTGGGCAGACTTGTATTTAAGTTGTTTGTTATTGAACTTTGTTGTTGCTGCTGCTGTTCTGTGTTTGTGTTTTGGTGTTTTTCAGTAATGTCTTTGTATTGGAGTACACATGCAGGTAAGCGTTTCATTGCACTTGTGCTTATGACAAATGGAACCGAAAGAGTCTTACTCATAAGCACGACATTTAAAGTAACTCGAGATTGATGGGGTTTGTATTTAGTTTATGTAAACCCTTCAAGGATGCAGAGCATAACAGGCAGATGTGCTTTTGCATGCTCCTGATTGTTCTCCAGAAGTGGCCTTTCTTGTTCCAGGTTGAAACTCTGCTGAGCTGCGCTGTGACTTTTTCCAGCCCCACCTCCCTAAAACCCCACGATTAGCCGGCCACACTTTATCATTTTTTCCCTGATGTGTAGGCATCATGCCAGGTGTAAGTGAACACCCACTGTACGCGTGCGTGTCTGTGCTCTCTCCAGGGGGGCAGAATTCCTGGTTCAACACGAACCACGAGGAAGAGGCCACCGCCTGCGTCCGGCGCTACGATCCGCGCTTCGACAAGTGGACCCGTCTGGCTGACATGCATGTAAATAGTGGAGCGTTCCGTGTTCCGAGTTTGAAACTGTTCTACAGGAATTACAGGATATCTTAACAATTCCGGACATATTTCCTTTTCTGAGTTTTTATTTTCATAAACAAAGTGTGTGCATGTCAGAATGAATTTACCTCCAGAAATAACATTCAATACACTGGAACATTGGCTGCATTTTTAAAGTATTTAAAGTTTTGTTTAAAGCAAAACAAAAATAGGCAATAAATCTACAGTAAAACCATCTTCATATTTAACATTCCTCACATTTCCAACTTTCTGTGTTGCGATGCAGTATAGCATTGCATACTCTGTACTGTAACTTCATACTGCCTTCATACATGTAATAAGCACTGCAAATGTGGGTATGCTGCAAGCTTCAGTCTGTATCGTAAACGTGCAGTATTGCTCAACAGCCGAAACCTTTATTTTATATTACGAAGGAGAGGAGGCCAATCGGTTAATTAGGTAGTTCGAAGCTTATTGATCCAAGACTCTCTTCTAGTAGTTTCTGAAAAGCAGCTGGAGTTTCGGCTTCAATCATGTTGCTGGGCAGTTTGTTCCAGACTCCCACCACCCTTTGGGTAAAGAAGTGCTTACGTTTCTTGGTTTTAAATTCAAATGTAGACTCCCTGTAGTTTCCACCAGTGTCCTGGGGTTCGCCGTCCGGCCCGGCCCGCTGCTGTGAGGGACACGGCTGGAGGGTGGGTGGTGTAGCTCCCGCGCCCTGACTGAGCCCAGGCCCCTTGTTCCAGGTGCGACGGCGCCGGTTCCACTGCAGCGCCCTGGGAGACCGGATCTACGCTGTGGGGGGCAGAGGGGAAGGGGGCATACTGTCCTCTTCAGAGTGCTACAGTCCAGCTGAGGACAAGTGGACACACATCCGGGCCCTGCCCTGCCCACTGTCCAGCCACGCCGGCGCTGCCTACAGCAACAGGCTCTACGTCTGCGGTAGGACAGCCCAGATCTCGCGCATGAAGCTCATGGCAGCGTGGGCGTAGAAATTACACTCCAGGCCCCTGAAGCGTTCAAACTGACTGTTCTCGTCTGCTTAGCCCAGTTCATGTCGGAAACAATTAGCAGCATGGTTTACCTCAGAAGTGATCATCTACAGATTTAATCCGCACACAGAGTCTTGTGTTAGAGCAAATACAGACACTCGGTATTTATCATGTTTCTCAACCTGATACAGTATAACCACGGTTTCTGAGTTCCTACAGAGCCGTTTGATATTAAACGGTTCGAAAGAAACTGGTTCTTTGCAATTCAGAATTACGAGAACAAATGACGTTGCGTCCGTGAAAATGCCTTTCACAATCCGATTTCATTTTCTGTTTTTGGTACGTTTGAAATAAATGGTGTCTGTTTGTCAAAATAATCCCCAAAAGTACTACTCCACATCACAGACCACCCTGCATTTTCTAGCGACATATCAGTGTTTCCTCCTGTCTCCTGGTTTCGACAGGGGGCTCCTCAGGGGAAATCTTCTCGAACGCGATGTACCAGTACAGCCCAGAACTGGACGAGTGGACACCCCTGCCACCCCTGCGCTATGCCAGAGGGTTCCACAGCATGAGCCCTGCGGGGGACAAGATCTATGTCATGGGTGAGTGTGGGGTACAGAGAGCGTCTCGCTCGAGGGACCGAGGGGGACGTGCTGCACACTCATAGGTTTGCAGACAGGTGTGTCTGTTTAACGAGGTGTGCTTTTTAAACTGTATTGAAACATCTTGCACAGCATTGCATAAAATGAAATACGGGATCATTGGCTCTGTTTCACCACTGTGAGGGCAGTAGAACTGTCTAAAGGGATGTCTTATTCTGCTATTCGCAGTCATGGACAGCCGTTTCTTCCTTACTGGGGCCCCTAAACACATACCTGTGACCAGCGAAAGGGATGTGTATTTATAAAAGTCGTATGAATAATATATAGATGTACCTTGCAAGCCACACCTTTCGGGGATATTCTGTGTTGTAAGAGCATGAAGTCACTATGAATTAATTTAAATAATTGTGAATTAACTGTAGTTAAATAGCTGTCCGTGGCTCCTAACACTTTTATACACAACGAGCTGCACAAGAATTTTCTTCATACAGTTCCCTTCATTATGAAACCGCAAGAGCTGGGATTTGTTCCCATAATTCATAGTGGTTGCAGCCTCTTAAAATGCAGCATATCCCCAGAAAGTGTTACTTTTGAGATGTGTGTCTGCTGTGGCTACCTGAGCATCTCGAGAAAAGTCAATGCAGTAAGCTCTGGGGGCTGTAGTTGTTTTAAATTTTAAAATCGTAAAGGTGTGTTTAACAATATGTACACCATGGACGGGACACCAGTCTACCGCAGGGCACACACAGACACACACTCACGCCAGCGCCAGTTTCCCAGAAATCAGTTACCATACCAGTATGTCTTTGGACAGTGGGCAAAAACTGGAGCACCCAAAGGAAAGCCTTGTGAACATGTATACAAGCTCCAGGCAGACAGCAGCCCTGGGCCTTGAACCCAGGGCCCCAGCGCTGTGAGGCAGCAGGACTGCCCACTGTGCCGTCCTTGCTCAGTCTTATACTGCTTCGGTTGAATTCCTGCAGTAAAACCCCATGTATCCCGCATGTCCTGTGCTTGTGCCAGGTGGTATCCTGATCTCTCGGGCAGCGGGCCAGGCGCGCTCCTACTCGGACGTCCTGGTGACGGAATGCTACTGCCCGGCCTCCCGGCAGTGGACAGAGCTCAGCCCCCTGCCCGTGGGGCACAGCCAGCACGGGGCCGCCGCGCTGGGCTCCTCCATCTACATCATGGGCGGCTTCTCCTGGACGGAGGAGGGCTTCCTCAGCAGCGTCCACGTGTACGACCGCGAGGCGGACGCCTGGCGAGCGGGGCCCCAGCTGCCCCGGCCGCTGGTGGGGGTGGCCAGCGGGACGCTGACCCTGCCTCACGCTCTGCGCGGGAAGGGCGACACCACAGAGCCCGAGCCCGAGCCGTCGTAGGGCAGCGAGCGGTGACCAGCAGCCTTCCCCGTGCAGCACTGTCGGTGTACCAGGAGAAAACATCACGACTAATACACATTTCAACAGACCTGAAATGAGTAACAAACGAATAGTATTTCCTCTATGCTTGATGCCAAATTGTTAGTTATGCCTAAAAACATTGTACCCATTATATATTCTTACCTTGTTGTACAATTATTACATTATTGTATATTATTGCTGCCTAAGCCCAGGGCTTCTAAATGTTTCCAAAATGATTTGTTTTAGCAGAGGAAAACAAGCAAAGAAGCGTTTATGTTACCATTTTCAGTGTCACATTAATAAATCAGATGAGCAACTACCAGTGCAATAATTCAGTGTAGCTCTGGGTACAGTAACTGCCTTTGTGAGATCAGAACCTCATTCCTGGCACAGTGTGCGTTTGGCATTATTGATGCACAATTAAATACAGCACGGAGGTTTAGAAACTACATTTTTAAACCCAAATCCAGGCTGTAGTAGTTGTTTATGCTAATAATCGAACATGCTCTGTCAGAAGCATATTTTCAATTAATACTTTCCTCTTTATCATGTATAGAAAAAAAATTAAAATATTAGTATTGTTTACGGTTCAATTCTAAGTGCACTTTGCTCTATTCAGACTGTTTACCTGCAGTACTTTCATGGACTGAAGTATCCATCAGCAGCAGAACAGCTGGCTGGTGCTCAGATACTCCTGCCCCGGAGGGCAGCTCAGGTTGCTGGGTTTCATACCGTCCTGGACTCTTGATGACTTGACCTGAATAAATTCGTTCACTGATTGGACTTCATTAGCACTGTTACAGCAGTGGGCAAACCCCTCACCCCTGTTGTTACTTGTTACTGCCTGTGAAACACAGTGGACAGCAGGTCTAGTGCATCAAGCCCGCTCCACCAAATAGCTTTTTTTGTCAAGGAACTAAGTGGAAAAGGGAACAGTGTGGAAAAATGAGTTTGGACCAATGCAGAGTCAATTCGAATAATACTGGAGCCAAAAGGAAAGCTATGACTTCAGATGGACATCGGAAGAGTCTGTTTAGGACGTACTTAGTACACTTTAGTAAAAAAAAATCTTAATTTTGCAGTTTTTGACGTGCACCCTGTTAATGCTTATCAAATGTTCTCTCAATTGCCATAGCGCCATACGATGGTCCAATATGAGTGTTAATTGCAGCAAAAATATGGGGGAAAAAAAACAACATTCACAGAATTCAGAGCACATTTTTTTCCCTTCTACTGTTCACAAAGATGCCTTTTATATTGTGACATTCCAGACTATTTAAATACTTGTTCCTGAGGTACTGCGATGCAGTCATTTCTAAACACAAAGGAGAGCACAGTCTGGCTCGACTTGCACTTAAATGAACTGCTTTCAGGACAGATTAAAAATTAGAAGAAAAAAAGAAATGTCGTTGTTTCAAGCCTGTTAAAGGACAGAAGGGATGATGAGGGACTTGGCTGTTGCTGAATGTACTATTTTCTATCAGGAACGTTGAGCGGTTTTATTAGACTGGAAACAGCAAAAAATGTGGGTATACCTCACTAGTTACCCTTTAAACTTAACCTTATAAACAGGTATAGTGTGAATACCTGCAGAACACTAAAGAAAGACAAGTGACAGGCTCCATGTTTCTCTGTATAGCTGTTAGAAAAAAGTAGTTGCGGAATAATAGTTGCTGCTGCTTGTTTCCTCTTACTTAAGCCGCTGTGAGAAGCGTGATCGTGAAGAGTATGCAGTCTGTGCATTTCTCCCCAGTGTGCACAAGAACAGCTACAACACACATCAGGGGATGCAGGTAGCACCAGATGATCCTGCCAGATAGCCGACATGTGGTTAAATTATAGCAAAAGCTGCTATACCTCATGATACCATAAACAATTGAACATCCTATATTGTGTAAAAAGTGCAACATATGTAATGATTAAAGTTATATACTGTATGCAATGAGGTCACACTGCTGTTGTATTTATTATTGTTTGGCATTTGCACTTTGCACTTTAATAAAATGTCTTGACAGGTACCATTTACATGTTATCAGTTCTTTTCAATTCTTACATGAAAGTGGATACTTATGTTATCTGCAATATCATGAGCCAACCCATCACGCATACTTAGAGTAGGATAACTCCGAAAATAAACTAGACGAATATACTGCAGAAGAGCTGAAGTCAAATTTCCCAGCTCCGCTTCAACATGCACATTCCAGTTGGACTCGAGGGACAACTGTTCTCGAGAACTGAAGTCACCTTTTCTTCAAACTACGTGGAAATAGCCAGCTTCAGCCCTTATGATCTGAAGGTGTCTGTGTAAAGGTCAGAGGTTGTGAGCAATGGTCAACAACCCTCCTTCTTTAACCCACAGGTCTCAGAAGTATTTACAGCTGATCAGATCACCTTCAATGGATGCCACGCTCCACTGAAGCTTTACTCCAGAAATTAATTTGAGTTCCTCAAAGCCACTGGCATCCCATTACAGATTTCTTCAATAATTACAAGAGGAAGCCCTTGTATTTACCTGGATACTTTCATCAGTGAGGAATGTGGTCACCCATCAACGTTTCAGTTGGGTTACATTCACCGTATACAATGATAGACCAGTCAAAAACATTTTGCCAATCAGAACTTGTAATTAAGTGAGCAAGACATGAAGTTCCTTGGAACAGACTTGTATTTCCACATTGTCAGACTAAGGACGTGACTATTGAAGGATTCGTATACAAAGAGTAAAAAACTAAGGCAATACTTCATTGGCAGCTTATGCAACAGTGAGAATGGCGCGCTCCCTCTTCTTCCTTTTTCTCTTCTTTTCCTCAAACCGGTCTGTAGCGTCAGCAAAGAAAGTCACGTCTTCTTTGTTCTCAATCTCCCGCTGAAGAAACTGCAGGCCTGCTATGTTAAAGCCGAGAATATCCTGGCAGAAAAGCAGGACAGTGTCAGATCTCCTGCTGAGAGTTCTTCACAAGCTTTCACACAAATGCACAGAAATATCTCATAAACCCTTAAACTGCTGGTACTTTGTTTGGAGACCTGACTAAGAGTAAAAAAACATTTTAATGTATGACTACCCCCTCTCTACCAAATGCAGGTGTATCTCAGCAAACCTTCATCACATATCTGACCTTATTTCATATCTATGCATAAAATATTGGCAATATAATAATACCAACACAAACTGGTTAATCATCTACAATTGAAAGCACTGAAAAACCCTGCAGTATTTTTTTCTTACTGCCTCTTCACTTTCTGCACTCTCAATAAGAACCATATAGTGTCTGTTTCCTGAAACAGTTTTGCAAACTTTAACAACTACAAAGTAAATTTACAAGATTTCAGTGATCGCTTCAGTACTGGCACACGGGAACACAGGGCTCACCCTTATCTGTCGGACTCTAGAGATGGTGTTTTTCCTCAGATCGTCAATCACTGTCAGCAGCATCTGACTGCTTGTGATCTGCCCAAAGTGAATCCTGAAGAAACATCAAGCATGATTTCGCTAGTTTGTAATGAAAGACAAAGGTAATACCAGAATGCAAATCAGAGGAGGCCATTCAGTCAGTCTTGCTTGTTGGGTCCTTTGACAGCTAAGTGGAACTAAACCTCTTTTTTTTCCAGCTTTTTCTTATAAGTGTCTAGAGTTTGGGCTTCAGCAACTTCATTGGAAAGCCTGTTCCAGACAGTCACAGCTCTGAGAAAACAAGCGATTCCTATTTTCCACATGAAATAACTTTACTTTCAGTTTCCAAATGTTACCACCAGTCCTTGTGTCATTACAGAGTGTTTGCCACTCCACCTATTTTCACAGTACAGCAAATTCAACTAGTCTTCTTACTGTACCAAAAACAATTGTGCCGCTGAAGATTACGCAGTTTCTCCTTGGTTAACGAGCTCTGATCCTCCTATGGATAGCATATAGACAATCTCTCTCCCAATGACTCTGCTTCAGCACCTGCAAGCTTCTTTCCGCTTTGATAAAATCAGGAACTCCAGTTTTTAACTCATGTTTTAAAGACTGAAAGAATACATAAAAAGATACAATATTCTAATATCACACTTTCCCTTTGGATCCGTCATATCTGCTTTTTTATCCATACATCGTTGTTTTGATTAAAAGACTGGAGCAGTAAGATTTTCTTTCCTAGTTTGGTGCTTTTACAAACTGGGTTAAGAAGCAATCATTAGCTATTTAAATCATATCAGTTTCAGCTTCTGTATTCTCCATTACAATATCTCAGTGTATGTGTGCAAAGTTGACACCTCCCACTAATATAACATCACCTCTGCTAACCACCATCACGATCACATCAGTTACTTGTGCCCATGTCTGCCGTAGGTGACTGATCACACACACCTACTATATTTTTAAAGACCTTTAAAAAACCTTTTTAAGAACAAGTTTTTATCTCACGTGGATTCTACTGTATTTACTCTCTAGCTTGGAGTTTAATTTTTGATATGTAGTACCATATCACCACCTCTTCTGTCCTGCCTGTCTTTCCAAAGAAATCTGTAACTGTTTCTCATTCTATCCGTGCCACGTTCCTCTTCTATGACTTCTACGATGTCACAATACTCCTGCAATCAGAATCCTAACACAACTATCCATCCATCCAGCCAGCCATCTTATCCAGTACAGGATCGCGGGGGAGCCTGAGCCTATCCCGGCAAGCAGAGGCGCAAGGTGGGGTGCCCCCTAGACAGGACGCCCAGTCCATCACAGGGCACACACTCACACACACCAGGGCCAGCTCCCACAGAAGCCAAGCCACCAGCATGTCTTTGGACTGTGGGAGGAAACTGGAGCACCCAGAAGAAACCCACACGAACACGGGAAGAACATGCAGACTCCACACAGACAGCACCCCAGGAGCTGAACCCAGGGCCCCAGCTCTGCGAGGCAGCAACGCTGACACCTGTGCCGTAATCCAACACAAACAGCAGAACTACCATTCTTCTGACAGTCCAGATGACTAGACTTTCAGTCTCTATCTGATTGGAGTCCGGACGTCACACCTGTATAACGTCTCCATTATATATCTTCCATTATTTCTAAAGCAGCACATTTGAACTTGATGCAGGCAGGTGGTCCTGGAACCGGTCCTGAAACGCCAGGGCTTCTCGTGCCTTCGGATCTACAGTAAGAAGCCGACTCAGCCACAGAGCGCAGGGTACCTGAGCAGGAAGAACAGGCAGCGGCAGACGAGCTCCACCTCCAGGCCGCCGCGGATGAACTCATTGAAGAGAGACAGCAGGTCAGGGACGTAGGAGAAGGGCAGGACCAGGAGAGACTCCTCCAGTTCGCTGGTGGGAACGCACAAAACACGCTGAAGCACCGTGCGACTCGGAGACTGGACTTAGACACGGCACAGATAAAGATCCTTTACTGGACTTCGAAAAAATATTCTCCTACCTGGATCGGACTTTCCTGATCACATCTAAGACGTACTGAGAGGGCTAAAAAAAACAAGAACACAGGGCTCAGGTTAAGAAAAAAAAAAACTTCTTAAGAACAGTATAGAATTAATTTTTTTGAATAAAAACACATTAAAAATGTATACTCTTTGCATGAAAATGTCATGATGTATATTATTGCCATATATTTCATTGAAACCTGATTAACCTGAATAAAGCACAAAGTTAAACTCACATCACCTGTAACAGAAGACCACAAGCGTAAAAGTGCAGTTGAATGAAGCTGCATTCAACCAGCCCTCAAATTCATCAAGCAGCAGGACATCAGGACATGAGGTTTACAAACACTTATTGTCACATTTCACGAGCTACGCAGTTCTTGCAAAATATGCGCATATAAAGAAATTAAAATATTCATAGTTACCGAGATGTTTCCAAAAGCAACAAGGATGGGGCTCATTGTAGGTGGCGGTAACTTTAAAAAAAAAAACAACAATACGTAGGTTAATTCTTATTTCTATTTAAGAACAGCAAAGTATATTACTGAACCACCAATCCTCAAAATACACCAAGCAAAATGGAATAACCTGAAAGTTCACCTTTCTGCCCGCTGCGCTGCAGGCTGCACTGTGCTCCTCCAGCTTCCTGGTCTCCTCCCGGTACAGCTCCAGGGCTTCCATGATGCGCTCAGCCTGCGGAGAGAGCCGTGTCCGTTTCAGTCGTGTCCAGAGAACAGCTGCAGCAGCGAAACACAACCAGCGCTGCCCGTGGCAAGCCCAGCAAGCCCAGCCCACACATCGCTCTGGACACACAGGCAAAGAGGACAACCACGTGGGAACCCAGTGACAAGACGCCCCAGTTCAACACGCACTTAGGAAATACATAAACGGCAACAAGTAGGAAGTGTACAGAACATGAAAGTGGAAAAGCTACAATTAGCACGGCACTCCTGAACAAGCAAACACAAGTGGAAGTGAGCTGAAAACTGAGAAATCGGGGACAAGCTGCTCAGCCATACTGCTCCAGCCGATACCCAGGCGTCTTGAAAGAAACAACGGGCTGAGATCCTCTGAACTGCTAGCTACTAGCCAGAGGGGCCAGACAGCCCTGTTCGTGGTTTGTATCCAGACTCACCGCTTTGACAGTTTCAATGGTCTTCTTCCCAGCCAGGCCTGCCTCACCCTGGGTCTCCCCTGGAACCTGAGGATTGAAGCGCAGCCAGTGAGCGGGTGCGAGACGAGAGACTCAGCTCAGACACGTGGGTGCTCACGGTGCTGGGGCAACGCATCTGTGGTCCCCTTGGTCTCGTCCAGCGCAATGACAAACATTTGTCCTTCGCACTCGAAAGGATGAAATGAAGGCTATGAACTCTTAAGTCAAGATCATGACATTTTTCTTTATTTACAATGCAAAATCACTTTAAATTGTTGTTCGGAGTTCATATATCTCACATTGCGCCTTGTGAAATATTTTATTCCAATAGAGAAAGGTAGTCACATTCACATTTTTGTATTACTCTGCTTACTACATAGTTTAATTCAGTTGTAATGGGCCAAAGAAATTGTGATATGTCATTTTACAAACTGTGACGTTTCTAAAATGTTACTTTGGACCACAGCAACAATATTCTGCATAAAATAAGCACAAAAACAGAAGAGGAAATGGAAGAATTAAGACTCTTACCACTGGCTCATCGCCTTTGGCCAGGCTCTCTTCATATTCCGCCTCTCTTGCCTTGAAAACACACAAGAAGCAGAGATGCACAGGTGAGCTATTTTTTGCTTCTGTTCCCTTGTGGTCTGCGATCGTCTCAAACGGCCCCTCACCATTTCCTTCTCCTCTTCCAAGATAATGGGCTCCCTGGTTCTCTCCCACAGCCGCAGCGACTTGTCGTGAGCAGAGGACACGACGTAATCGCCGCTCGGGCTCACCGCCAGGCACCACACCTCCCGATGATGACCCTGACCACAGAGAAGACAGCGCTGCCTGAAACACAGCCGGGCTCCCGCACTCTGTAGAGCTCGCCAGCCTGTTACAGCACACACTGGGAGGTACTAACCAGTACATGTAGGCCAAAATAGGGACTCTGCGTTCTGCAGAAAGTCTTTGCAAAAATGTACTGTTTCTTAAAACCCCCTTTAAACCCTCTTTAAATTGAAAAACACGTCGTTTTAGACACTGTATCATCATCACCTCTAGCGTCTGCACATGCTCAAACTTGTCAGCGTCCCACTGCTTGATTTTCTTGTCCTTGCCCGCGGTGAAAAACAGGTGGGTTTTAGGGACAAACTGCAGAAACATGACACTGCAAAAGACAGAAAGGAAATCAGATCACCGAACCTTTCAGGATGTCTTCCTGACTTTTAAACACTGGATTGTGGTAAGGAAAGAAACAGAAGTATGATAAAAACAATACTGTGTAATAACCTATTCTATTGCATAAATAGTACACTCTGTAGATACAAACGTATTACCGCCTACTGTACTAGTTCTTCTGTTTAAAAAGACACTCATGTTCATACCTGTCATCATGGGCAAAAAGGGATCTGTGACAATCTCCAAAGTCTAGACCCCAGATCTTGACATTTCTGTCCGCAGAGCCGGTAGCTATCAAAGCGCTATCCTAAAACAACATAGAAGGACTTTTAACTCCATGGGTAAAATAAAAAGTGTTGTATGCATGACTTCAACACATCCTTCAACACAATGACACAACAGAAAAACGAGCACTTACATGGGAAATATCCATGCAAAGCACAGGTAGTTTGTGTCCATAGAGAGACAGAAAAAACTATAAGGAAAAAAAAAAGAGAGAGTTAATAAACAGCAGCATGTTTTTTCAGGCTCAAACTAATTATTTAAAATACTGACAAAATAATAAAATTTTAAACATTTAATTAGGAAATAGCTTAAATGGCATACAGAAACCAAAAATATTGATTATCCTTAATACAACAATATAATATACAGCAGGAGAAAGAGGAGAACAAGAAGGTCGGACGTAGGGAATGCTTAATCAAGCACAAATCTTAAGTGAGCTCGACCAAAATCCTTAGTATACACTCAAAGAGTCATTTAACGCCACTGTATGACTCGCCTACTAGATACAAACCGGAAGGCATTTCTAGATCTGAAGTTCTGCTGTTGCCAAGGGATTATCGGTTACCATTCATGCTGACTTTGCTCTGATAATGCTCTTTCCTGGATCACACTGAGTTGCAAATCCAGTACTCACCACGAAGATATAACGGGAGAAAAAAAAAACATCTAACATACTATAGTATGCAACGTGCATTCAGGCTTCTGCTGTCCTGGAGACGCCCTAATTAATTTTATTGTCATTCGTTGCTTTTTTGTCGCAGTTACACTGAAACCTTGTTAGCGATGCGGAACTCTGGGAGAAACGTTTCTCTGCTCCCACCTTGAGAGTGTCGGCGTAGAAGACTTTCACGGTGCAGTCCAGCAGGGAGGCGGCCAGCAGCCGCTGGTCTGGGCTGTAGCGCACACACAGGACGTCCTCATCCAGCTGCAGGGTGCGCGTGTGGCTCACCGTCAGCCTCCTGACAACACACGCGGGGCAGGGAGGTCACACAGGCCGCGCCCCAGACTTGTGACAGGGGAACACGCCCAGCACACGCAGGATTAAAAAGCTCGCTGCCCTTCTGGAACGCCAGCTTCCACGGGCTTCACGCGTTTCAAAACAGCCTCATCGGCTCAATGTATTCTTATCCAAAAACAACATTGAACTGAAGCTACCAAGAATTTGTCTTTCGCTTACTAAGTCTGAATCAGGTGAGGGTCACATCCAAATAAAACACTCGCATGCAAAGAGTCATTAGGATTGTACCACAGAGGACGCCACAAAACCGATTAAATTGGTACCAGGTGAGGTTCGTGGTAGAACCTAAATACTTCAAAAGCTTCAGCGTTTGAATCATAACCTCCTTTTAAGTGCATGAACAGGAAAGAACATTCCCCGTGTATTGTGAAAATAATTTGATGGACATTTATGGGCTTTTATTGCCATGGTGTAGTTTAGGAAATTCAATTGTTTCTTACTTTGATTGTCCAGACTCCTTGTCCTTCACCAGCTCAAACTGCCAGAACTTGACAGTCTTGTCAGCCCCACCTGTCACAATGCCCCTCTGAAGAGAAACACACACAGTGAGCTGCCCAGACAGGCACAGCAACCCCACACTGCCTGTCTGAGCAGCACTGTACGGCAAACGTTTCACTTTTAAAGACCAAGAGAGTCATGCAATTAAAAAGGCAATGAAGACTGATCACATCAACTTTAAAACTTCTTAATTAATATGATTAAAATTGCCATAACACTTTTGCCTTTTCTTTTGAAAAAAATTAATAACTTTTTCCAATTCAAGTCAATCACGAAACATCAAATATGGAATGAAGATTTTAGAAAATTATTGTTAGACTTAGCCAGTGGCGAATGTAGATGTGACTAAAAACTTTTAAGACAAACTTCTCTGGAGCTATTACACAGATTCCTCTTTTTCAATTTTCTTGTCTTAGAGCAAAAATAAAAAATGCACAGATTACCTGATCTGGACAAAGACAGATGGACCACAGTGCGCCATTGTGAGCGTCTGTGGTCTCCAAAAGGCTGCCGGACGCCAGGTCAAAAATCTGGATCTTCCCACTCTGAAGACAGAACCACACACAGGACTTGAACGCGACAGGCTTCACAAACGCCACACAAATGGCAGCAACCTTGTCTTGCAAATAAACCCCACGTTTTCACTCTGACAAAACCGTTCCAGGTCACGAAGGGGATAAATAAATAAAGGATTCTGGGGACTCAGCTGTACACCCCCCACAGGAGACAGTACCTTGGTGCCAATCACGATCTGCCGGTCCCCGGGGACGAAGAGGGAGCAGAGCGCGTAGTCACAAGCCATCGTGCGGATCACCTGCAGAGTCGACCTATTAAAAAAACAAAAGCTTTTCTCCAGATGTGACTGTATTACCCAGCCACTTTCAAAGAACCTTAACAGCCTCGTCCTGTCCCTTA